GAGATGCTGAGCCGGGCCTTTGCTGCGGGCACCATGAAGATGACGGACGAGGTGGGGCGGATGATGGCGCTGGAGAGGCAGCTGGAGGAGCAACAGGTGCGGGAGGTGGGGGTTGGGGATGAGGGGGCTAAGATGGCGGGGGAAAGGAGAGGAGGCATCATCATCTTATTATGTGTGTGAGCCAGTGGACCACAGTTTGCTTGTGAAAAGAAAGGGAGCCTCGTTCCATTGGTCCATTGGTCCATTGGTCCATTGGTCCATTGGTCCATTGGTCCATTGGTCCATTGGTCCACTGGTCCATTGGTCCATTGGTCCATTGGTCCATTGGTCCCTCCAACGCGCGCACATGTACCTTTGACCTTTGACCTTTGGTCTTCCCGGTTGCTTAGAGGGCAGCAACTGGATCAACCCGGGAGGTCGGGTAAACACACACAACAAACAAACATACATACATACGTACACATTATACACATGCATATACACATAGGCACACACACACACACGCGGCCCAGGACCCCCTCAACCCCCGCAACGTTCTGACGCCGCCTCCTGGTAGTACACCCTGTGCCCATCCCAAAACCCTTCTGGGCACATCCCCCCTACAGAGCAACATCCCCCCTAAAGAAATCAGCTGCAACGTCCTTTTTCCCTCCAAAACACCCACCCCCTCCCCTCCCCTCCCTCCCCAGACGGAGATTTTGGACCTCCAGTGCGCCATCACCAAGGTGCAGTCCTGGTTCAAGATGCGCAGCAGCACCTTTCTGACCGCCTGCATGAAGGAGGTGGAGGCGGCCAAGGGCCGCGCTGAGGCGCTGGAGGCGGAGCTGTGGGAGGTGCGGGAGAGGGGCGAGATTACCACCGAGCAGCTGATGACGCAGCTCAGAGCGACACAGGTAAAAGGGTTGGGGGGGCAGGGGGGGGGTGGAGGGGTGAGAAAATGGTGGGGAGGGGGGTTTGGTTGGGGAAGTGTGTGTGTTTTGTTTATGTGTGGGTACTCGAGTTATCTCTAAAAAAGGTGCGGGCAGTAACTGGCCAGGAGGTTGCATGAGTTATATAGACAGACAGACAGACAGGCAGACAGGCAGACAGACTTACATCCCGCACTCTGGCAGCCCACGTTGGTGTCCCCACCCCAACCCCCTCCGATCAGCTGTCAGGGCCCCCTCACCCCCGCCCTAACGTTCCCCCTCCCTCCTTCCCCCCTCCCCGTCCCCGCTTCCCCCTCTCCCCTCCTCCTCCCCCCTCCCG